CAGACTGAGGTGTGTGACTACATTCTCTATATTCCTTTTTTCCTGGGCTTGCTTTATTTATTTATTTTTTGCTTAGACCTTTTGTCTTTATACTATTGTGAGCACTGGCCAATGTACATTCTTGCAGTTATTTTTAGGCTTGTCTGTAGCTAAGGGTTTATAAACCAGGAGCAATATATTTATTTATTAATGTGTTTGGTAGACTACACTATTTGAACTCCCATATGCCTGAGGGTTAGACGGCTACACCCCGAATATGGCCAATTAAACGTATAGTGCTGCTGTCTGCTGAAGAAGTGAAAGGGTTTGATTTGTCTTCTTGTAATAGCTATTGTTATTTATTGTTATATACACTTTTTAGGATTCAGAGGTGTTAATCACCATGAGGTGGTCACTATGAGTTATTGGCAGTATGCTGTTAAAAAATAGCAATAAGGTTGGTAACTTTCTGGACATTTGTGACCGCCAAAATATCTCCTGGCTGTGTTAATTGCTTAATAAAGGGTTATATATATCCCCATTATTAAAGCTTAGTTTAATCAAGTGGAGAGAAATTATAAATAATAATACAGGAAACAGACAGTGAATGCAGTAAAAACAAACAAACAGAATGACAACAAAAATGAATAAACAGAATAAATGTACAATTCCTTGCCCAGTTTGCCCGAGGAGGGGAAACCTAAATTGAAAATCCATTAGGATTCTTGCCAATGTCATCTTGATGAATATCTCCCCTTGAGGAAGGGATGAAAAAATATACTTTAAGCCCAAAAACATGGACTTTATAATGATTTTTATGTGATCTGAAAAACATGAATGTTTAAAAACAGCTTTATTTCTCTGTTTAAATTAAATTATTAACCACCACCAAATTCTCGTTCCATTTTTAAAAACCCCTAACATAGATTACATTTCAGTAGTTACACAGCTATACGCACGTCAGTTTAATGTGTCATTTTCAATGTGTCACTAGAGTGCATGTTCTTGTGATCATAATAATTTCAATAACTTTAATCATAACAAGCTCAAATTTGAGATTTAGTAAAATCTATACACATTTTGTTTTTGGTTTTTGGTTTTTACTATGGTTCCACCATGTTTTTTTTTTTAAAGTCAGAAAAAGTAATGACAACATAAAATAATTCTATTTTACTATTAGAATGAGTTCAATTCTTAAGTACCAAATTTGGATCACATGTGTGGACAAGTAACAGATCGGCAGAAAGAAGAGATGCCAAGTGGTATATTTCCATTATATTATTGGGTGTAAAGAAAAAACAAAAAGAGAAGGGTGGACTATGAACCATTCTTTTGAGTAGATTCTCTGTATGCTATTATCTATGAGCTGACTTGCCGTTACAGAGATCCAGATAATACTGAACACATCACATTCTAGAATGAGCATATCAACTTGTTCTTTACACAGTACTGAAAAACTAGAGAATGGTAACAACAATTAATAAAGAATGAAGAGCAAGCATAACATATGATATATCAGTGAATGTACATAACAATGAAAGAGTGGATCAGGTTCAACCTAAGTATAATAAAGGTAACCAAAAAAGGTTCAGATGGACATGCAAGGGCTTCTAAACTGTGTCAGACAGACGGCATGTTTCAAGTGTGGTTCCCTTTTCCATCTGTGTGTATGATACACTGTATAGTGACATTTAAAAAAAAAAAAGAAGTACAAGAATGAATATAGTCTCAAATGTGCCTACCTGTATTCAGAAGGCAATACGCAACTGTAGAGCTTTTCTTTAAAGTGGCACAGTCACATGGAAAATTATTGCCATTAACCAGTTTAAAACAACCTTGCAAATAGCTTACTATTACTTTTCTCCAAACAAGCCATGTTAAGCTGAGCAGGGGTTATCACCATAATAGGGTACCATCAAATTTTCTATTCTGCAGGAAAAAATGGGAATTGTTCTTGTAAATCTTAAATTGTGCTTTTAGTCCAGAATGCCCATGGTTAGTTGGAGAACTTTTATTCATGGGAATGAACTCAGAAATTTCATGTTCAGTGTGGTAATATTTATATACCTTCATTCCATTTTTACTCTATTTTATTCCACATGTTTTACAAAAATACTACTTATGATGAGCTACAAGACACATAGTGATTTAATTAAAACATCTTGCAATGCTGGTTAAAAACTACTTTCAGTAAGATTGAAGACAGCGTTTCACTTTGACCTGAAATAAAATAGGTACAATTTTCTACAGAGATAAATTGTAAAGAGATCTGCCCTCTTGGGATTTTGGATATATCTTTTCTTCAATAATCTATTTGCGCTGATGTACAATGGATAATCCATTTAGTTTTCTTTATCAGAATCCCCATTGCTCAGTCACAGTACACTGCAGAAATTTGAATGATCTAAATTATAACAACGACGCAATATGACATTGATGATTTTTTAAGATGTGTAGGGAATAATTTAATTGTTCATTAAGGGTGGTATAATATGTTTGTTAAAGTGGTGTAATGAAAGATACCATACTGTTTAAATGTAAAGAAAGCAGTATGTATTAATTAATTGTACATTTGAAAGGTAAAATTATTTGTAAAGTACCGTATATACCCGAGTATAAGTCGACCCGAATATAAGTCGAGACCCCTAATTTTACTCCAAATAACTGGGAAAACTTATTGACTCGAGTATAAGACTATGGTGGGAAATGCAGCAGCTACTGGTAAATTTCTAAATAAAATTATATCCTCCAAAAATTATATTAATTGAATATTTATTTATTTACAGTGTGCATATATAATGAATGCAGTGTGTGTGTGCGTGTGTATGAATGCAGTGTGTGTGAATGCAGTGTGTGTATGAATGCAGTGTGTGTGTGTGTATGAATGCAGTGTATGTATATGAGTGCTGTGTGTGTGTGTGTGTGTGTGTGTGCAGTGTGTGTGTATGAATGCAGTGTGTGTGTATGAGTGCAGTGTGTGTGTATGAATGCAGTGTGTGTGTGTATGAGTGCAGTGTGTGTGTGATGCAGAGCCTTGGTGGGGGGGTGGTCATTTTTATTATTTTTTATATTAATTTTATTATTTTAATATATTTTTTTAGATTATTAATATTTTTATGTTATTTTGTATTATTTAAATTTTTATGTTATTTTTTTCCGTCCCCCCTCCCTGCTTAATACCTGGCCAGGGAGGGGGGCTCTCATTCCCTGGTGGTCCAGTGGTGTGCACTGTGTAGGAGAGGGCTAGTAGGAAGTGTTTACTTACCTTTCCTACAGCTCCTGTCAGCTCCCTTCTCTCTCCTCCGGTCAGCTCCCCTGTCATCTCCACTGTAAGTCTCGCGATGTGACTGCCGTGTGGAGCGTTGCCGCGGCTCTCGCGAGACTTACAGTGGAGCTGACAGAGGAGCTGACCGAACCGGAGGAGAGAGAAGGGAGTTGACAGGAGCTGCAGGAAAGGTAAGTAAACGCTTCCTGCCAGCCCCCAACAGGACCGCTGGGCTTGTAATGAGCCCGGCGGTCCTTGTCTGTATTATGGCAATGTAAGTTGCGATAATACAGACACTAACTCGAGTATAAGATGAGTGGGGGGTTTTCAGCACAAAAAATGTGCTGAAAAACTCGTCTTATACTCGAGTATATATGGTAAATACTATTTTGATTTTTATTGTGTTTATACAACAATGCTGCTGAGATAAAATTGGTTCTGATTTATAAACAATTGGGATAAACAATGTAATATGTATTACGGGACTTCATTTGACAGATATAAGAAAATTGATGCAGTTGGTCTTGCAGCCCTACTTGTAAGTATATATCGGAACAGAACAAGTGCTGAACATTGTCTAAATATGGATATGTATAATATATGTTGTGTAGGTTGTGACTATTTAGTAAAATGTTAAAATTGTTACTATTGTTTGTTGCTAGTGTTAATCTATTAAGGGCTAATTACACACTTTGTCATCACAACAGTCTAGTCCTCCAGATCACTGCCAGGATTATTTACTAAATAACAAATTGTCAAAAACTAACGGGGAATTTAAAATTTTTACAATAGTTGATGCAGGACATTTATTAAAAGTACTTACTGCTCTTTGTGAACCAGTATGTGACTAGATGATATTCCAAGAACATAAAGGGGTTAATGGTTTATTATTTAAATATGTATTTTTTAATCTAATATTACAAAATAAGTTTTTCATCTGAGCTGAATTTATTGTCTTTGATGCTTGTTTGTTTGCACTTTTATCAAATAATTTAAATGCATATTTTATTATTTAAAAAAAGGTACAGATGATTAATTAATATTCTTTGACACAAAATTCAAACATGCCTAAAGCAAGATTGTTTGTTGTTTATAAAATAAACACGCATTTTGTATGACGGATTGTCTTGAATCATTTGCCATTAAAAAAAAGAAAAACACAAAAAATGAAACAAAAGACAAAAACCTATATGTAAAGCATCTCCAAATGTTTTAAGGTGTTTACAGTTAAAATAATCCAGATGTATAAGTTAATATATAAATGCTTGTTAAAATGTTAAGTGTGTGAAATGCAACAGCTTCATTTGCAACAATAAGCATTTATGACAAATAAAAAATATGCAATTTTTTGTTACTGGGATATAGTTTTGAAGAATTGTCTAGTTAAAAAAACAAATGCAACAAATAAACACATAATTGAATGAAGGGATTTGGTGACTGTGTACATTTCATGCCTCTTCTGAATCTTTAAACATGCTGTGTTATCCGTTTGTTTCTCGCATTCAGCTTTTCTCAGAGTTACTAAGTGGCCAGCAAATACTGTTTTTGTGATTGAGATTCACTGGAGTGTGTAAAATCATGTTTCCATAGTGATAGGACTGGAATTTGATCACTAAATACAAAACATTTTAGACATAGGTACAGTTACACAAACTGCTCTAATTCTGAGCATAAAATGTCTGCTTTATAATCAACAAAAGTGTTTTAAAAATTATTTAATTCAATTTCAACTAATACGATGTGATTACAGTGGCTACAACTGAAGATGTTAACAGATCACTGTTAGGTCAAATTTAGTTTTTAATCGATTTTTATTGGTTTTATAAAAGGAACATTTGGTTTTCCATTATGAGGTGTAGTAAAACTGTAAACATAATACAGGGCTCGGCAGCCTCCCCACCCCAACTGGGGTGTCACGGATGTCTTCACTACCCCTGTGGGTACCATCGGCTGTGGCTACTTGTGGGCTAGAGCGTTGTTGTTAGGTAAAATTTTGTTTAAGGAGACTTACAATGACAGGGCACAGCAGCTTGTGTGATATTGTTACCAAAATGTTTTACATATATTTCATATAGTTTCATCAAAGGGACACTATAGTCACTATAGTCACCAGAACCACTACAGCCTAACATAGTGGTTCTGATGTCTATAGCATGTCCCTTCAGGCTCAGTAATATAAACCCTGCCTTTTCTTAAGTGTTTTTTTTTTTTTTTTTTTAGGCTATTTTCTTTATTGAGTTTCTGAATGCAAAAGTATGCAAGTTGAAAGGTACATATTTGATTTGGATGGATTTGGATTTGATTTGGATGTAGAAGTAAAATTATAAATATTTAATTTTGCTTGAATGAACACTGAACAGAACCATTCATTTATAGTAAGACAAGAGGCCCTGTATCATCTCACATTATTGTCACCTATTCTATGATATTTAACCCAAGATATGTTTATGTGGCATAAAATACATTTTAATACATTTAAACTAATCTACTTGTGACCTAATTTTTGCCAATTTGTGATTAACTTTCGAAAACATATTCTTTAAAAGGCTATTAAACAATATAAAACTGTTTGAAGTATAGCAATAAAGATGCAAAGTGAACAACATCCAGGTCAGAGGAAATAAGAAGTAGCTGGTAATTTAATAAGTAAAATGGGAAGTAAACACGATGGCAGTATTTCACGCAGCATATTCCATTTTTATATTAAAGGATCACTATAGGGTCAGGAACACAAACATGTACTCCTGACCCTATAGTGTTAAAACCAACATCTAGCCCCCCTGGTCCCCTCATGCCTCCCTAAATATAGCAAAATCTTAGTGTATTCAAGCCTGAAGCTGTAACTCTGCATGCTGTTTGCCTCAGAAAAAGCAGTCTGCTGACATCATCAGAAGTGGTAGCCTGATCCAATCACAATTCCCCATAGGGTTGGCTGACTGACAAAGAGGCAGATCAGGGACAGAGCCAGCATGATTCAAACAAAGCCCTGGCCAATCAGCATCTCCTCATAGAGATGAATTGAAGCAATGTATCTCTATGAGGAAAGTTCAGTGTTTGCATGCAGAGGGAGGAGATACCGAATGTTTGGATGCATTTTAGGCAGCCATGACCCAGGAAGGATCTCTAACAGCTATCTGAGGAGTGGCCAGTGATGTTATCACTAGGCTGTAATGTAAACACTGCATTTTCTCTGAAAAGACAGTTTTTAAAGCAAAAAGACTGAAGATAATGATTCTACTCACCAGAACAAATTCAATAAGCTGTAGTATTTCTGGTGACTATAGTGTCCCTTTAATGGTACACTCAAAGCATCGTACTCACTAAAATGTTATTTAGTGGTTATGGTGCAAGTAGTGCCCTAACATGCCCCTCTAATGTAAGTAATACTAAAGTAATAATAGCCCGGTGGACCACAGGTAAGTCCCCAGATAAGACATCAAATCATTAGCAAATACATACATTAATGTAGCAAAGACTACAATAACCACTACAGTGTGCTGTAGTGATTTTGGTGTTTGGAGTATTTCCTTTAAATCCTCAATCAAAAAACTAACTAGAAGCTAATCTATAAATGATGAGTTTATACTCAGGACAAAATAGCGTATGTCACAATAAAGTTGATTTTTCACGTATATCACGCTAGTTTAGTTTAACTAATGTCTGTAAAACATCACATTCTATTATACATACATACATTTACAAATCACAAGAATAGCAACAAATCCCTGAATGAATTTAGAAAATACTGAGGAACAGTTAATATGCTGAATAACCAAACGGAATATTAACAAACTGTGAAACAAATGGTCTGAACTTGATCCCTGGGTTAATAATGGTCATCTCATATTAATTAAATATTGATAGCTTAAATTATATGTGTGACCAAACCAATTTGCAGGCTTGAAATTAGAATTAGGCTATTCTTATACTACTATGTCTATACAAAGATCACAAATATCAATTTCAGATAATAAATTACAATAGAATTTAAAAGCACTATAAAATGTAACTGTGCTTTGTTAAAGCTCGTTTAACAAAAATGTTTATATAAAAAAAAATTGTAAAAGGTAATTGTAAACATCGGATGCTGTCCAGGAAGTAGGAGGGTCTGGGAGGGAGGGTCTGCTGGAGATTGGCCGGGACGTGTCAGCTGACCGGAGTTCGCCGCGAACAGCTCGCGGTGAACCGTTGAAACATGGATGCTGTCCAGGAAGTAGGGGGGTCTGGGAGGGAGTGTCTGCTGGAGATTGGCCGGGACGTGTCAGCTGACCGGAGTTCGCCGCGAACAGCTCGTGGCGAACCGTTGAAACATGGATGCTGTCCAGGAAGTAGGGGGGTCTGGGAGGGAGGGTCTGCTGGAGATTGGCCGGGACGTGTCAGCTGACCGGAGTTCGCCGCGAACAGCTCGTGGCGAACCGTGGCGAACCGTTCGCGAGAAGTTCACGGACGGTTCGCGACATCTCTACAACTGGTCCAATTAATAGCCACCCTGATATTGGCTTGCAAGGGACCAAGCCATATTGTCCTGAAAAAAGAGTCTAGGGTCAAAAACAGTGTCAAATATAATGGCAGATTTATGACTGAAATCATCAAGATAACAAATGAACATTTAAAACAGAAGGGCAGATTGCACACAAAAAATCAGGGTATAAAAATAAAGTATCTCAAAGATAAACAGGAGCAAGCAAAGCTAATGCTACTATAGGACTCTTGCAGCAGACATTGCATGCCTTCTCTGACTGTGCAGAGTATGGGAGTCATCTTGCCACTTCATTTATTTGGCATTGTGTGAGGCTCAAGTTCTTCCTGACAACTGATCAGTCCATCCGTCCATTGCACTGTCTACGATTATATACAATAAAATAAGGCCATACTGATCCCATATATATAAATATATAGGGATCAACCAATGCAATTGCCCTACCTAGCTCATCAGGATTTAGCCTATTTCATCATTCCTTGTATCCACAACTCCATATCTTATATATGTCCCCAAACTATGTCACGTTGATGCAGTCTACTGGTATGAATAGCACAACCCCCTTTGGTTTTAATATTAAAGAAACCCAGCTCCTGCTTGCCTATGTCAATCAGCAAAGTGTTTCAGGCAGTTTGGTAAACAATACTTTGCATATTCATTTTCTGTGCGCCTGCCCAGCGTATAGCAAGCTACACCAATTTACATGAAGCAAAATGTCATCACATCTTTAAGTGATCTTGCCCAACAGAGTGGCAGTACTTTCAGATTTTTTTTGTCAAGTAAGAATTATTCAGTCTGTTACTCCTGCCACATTATATGACAGGTCTACTATACGGTTGTCTGTGAAGCCTCGTCTAGCTTCTTTATTCAATGAATATGTCAGTAAAGTACAAACATCTTCCTTTAACCCTTTGAGGACCAAGGGACGTATTTGTCTCATGTTCTTAATTGCCTGTATCATCTGATTAAGAACTTAAAATACTTTTTTTTTGGCTTGAGTCATAAAATTAGTTCTTATCAACAAATGCATCTAGGAAGTGTGACACAAGTGTGGAAATGGTTTTATTTATTGTTCAAATACATTCTTAAAGCGAAACAAATATATAATTATTTTTATATTGATGACGGTAATCTTATGGTCCTCAAAGGGCATTAATATGAAGACTAAGCTGATGCTTCAACACCACAAAAACAGATCTAAGATTATTTCTGCAGTTGCAGAGTTAATTACTAAAATGAGAATTGTTGTGAATTCAAAGTGGACTTTAAATTTATCAGAAAAATTCAGAAATCAGAATAAATTCTCCAATTCAGAATCAGAAAAATTCTCCAATTCAGCTATGCTTTAAATTTGGCTATTTTTGTCAAAAAAAATAAATTCACTTTGAATTCGCTTTTGTGACTAGCCCTGTGGAAATCAAGGCATTCCTTAGGAGGAATGTGGGGGAGCCCCGAATGTGGGGATCTTTAGCCCTGCATCTCTACAGGTGATGGAAGGGCAAGGGGGATATAGGTGCTTTTTTATTGTTATTTTAATTTTCTTCAGTTAGCTGCTTTTTTTTAGATACCTATCGCAAAAATAATGATCAATAATATAGTGCTCCTCCAGGCTACTTGGGGGGAGGTTGGTGACCCCCAGGTGAATGTCAGAAGAGTGTAGTGTAGAACTGGACTTTGATGCACACTACCCTAATAGTTAGTTACAGATGGACAATATATTACTGGCGCTACCTTTTCTCTTTTTTTCTTTTACTATTTATTCCCTTGTGGGGAGTGTGAGGGAGTCCCACTGATCTAGTTGAGTGGCCTTCTTTTGTTTGTTGTTGTCTACTAACGCTGATCCTCTTTTCCTTTTCCTTTGTATTTCTGTATCTAAAAGTTAGGTAGCTTAGCAGGATTGCATTGTATAAGGGATACGCAGCATGCACTTCTTTGCAACTCTGATTAAATTGAGACCCCTGAGAGCACCTGCAGCACACTGTTCATGACTAGAGAGAAAGAAATATTTCATGAATTATTCTATCTCTCTGTTAGTGTAGGGGTCATCACGTTTTTCAGGAAACTTGGAATACCCTTGTTCATAGGTCATTCTTTCACCATTAATGATACCAAAGTTTGTGCATTTCTACTCAAATTGATTTTGAATATACTGAATAAATTAGAAGTATCATGTAATGTAAACAGTTTCTAATAGTGTAACTTGTAAGGTAAAAACAACTCCCAGTGATGTGAAATAATAATAACAAAAAAGAAAAAAACAACAACAGACAAGTATAGTGAAAAAATGCTGCAGGCTCTAAACTGTTCCAAAAGCAAGATTAATAATACTTATTCTCTAAGCAATATCACCGCTACCTGGGAACCAGGACTCAAGGCCATTTTGCAAACAAAGAGGTATAAAGGGAATTTCTATAATGCACTATTAATGGATCAGTTATGGGAAGAATTGTTTACAAGAGAAAAGATAATAACATTTGCAGTAA